TGCGGTCACATGCCTGGCCACGGTCAGGTGCACGTTGCCGGGCAAAGGCTGGCGTCACGGTGTTCCCAGGCTGGTGGCCGGCCCCTCCCCGTGCAAGGCTGCTGCTTCCGGAACGAGACTGTCCCCCGGTTGCTAGGACGACCCCTGGCACAGACCTGGGCCACACAGAGACACCAACTTGCTCCCAGGAACATTTCTGCACCAGGACGGTGGCTGACGTGTCCCCAGGGACCGGGCCACCCGCGGGGCGGCGAGGCCTGTGACGATGCTGGCTCCCACCCTGGCTCCCACCTGGAGCCGATGCCAGAAAGCCCCTCCCCCGGCTGTGGGCGCGTTGCCTGGGGGCGGCGTGTGTGGCCCAGCTGCACTTCGTGCGTGAGGAAACTGAGGCACATGGAGACTTCTGGATGCAAAAGAAAAGCGTGAAAAGCTGTGAAGCCTCCGGAGTCCCGCGCAGGACGCGCACGGCGTGGTCGGGGAGGACTCCGGGCTGAGGTCTAACGCGGCCTCGAGCCCCCCGCAGAGGATGCTCCGTGGCGCGAGGGTCGGGATCTGAGCGCTCTCTGCTTGGCGACGTCCAGGACGTGCTCCAGGCCTCGGGTGTCTCTGGTCCTCGGGAAAAACGCGTCCTTGGTCCGAAGCACCTGCAGGTGTCTGGGGAGCAGCCCGGAGTGTCTCGTCCTGAACCTCCGACGACGGCCTCACGCTTGCCTTTCGGAGACGACCGTCCGGGTCTGTCCGTGGTCTGTGTCCAGACACAGGTCGGGGGTGAGCTCCGATCCGACCGGCGACCACTTCAGCGTCTCTGTCGGCAGAGAGCGAGCCGGTCGTGGCCTCAGGCTCCTGACCTGTTCGTGGCCACCCCGCCTCACCTGGTGGGGCGTTAAGTGTCCTGTTCTCGCTTCGTGGGCAACCCTGGGCAGGTGCAGCCTGAACGTCCACTGCCAGAGCTTCACGTCTGTGGGGACAGGTTGGCTGTGGCTCTGGGGACGTCTGAGAGGGTGTTTGGGGCCTGGGAAGCCCCCGTTCCCTCCCGACTTGTCCAGCGCAGGCACCAGGGACAGGTCGAGGGCTGGGGTCCCCTCCAGGGCCGCCGCCGTGGGTCTGGGGGCAGCGGGCGAGGATCGGCTGCTGGCACCTGCCCGGCGTCACGCGGGGCCAGGCCCGAGACACAGGACGGTGGGTGGCGAGAGCAGGCTGAGTCCTCACTCAGTACGGTCACCACCCAGCGCGGGCCTGTCTGCTGCTTTTCCTGATGTCTCCGTGTCTCTGCCTCCACCTGGGTGGGGCGCCCTCCCCTCTGCCCCCTCCCCGCGTGCTCTGGAGCTGCGTAGCCGCTGCTCAGGTGGCGGGTTTGGGAGGCCAGTCCCTCTATGGGAGGACGCTGGTCCGGGGGGGGGCCCCGGGGCCTTTCCAGATTGTTACAGAAACAAAAGCCCAGCGCGGAAGGTTTGGCGAAAGGCCTTGTCATTGGACCTTGGATTAAAACCACGTGGTCTGTGAGGTCCCACGGGCAGGGCAGGGGGCGCTGGACGCTGAATGGTTGGGAACACGGCACGACGTGGCTCCCGTAGCCCGGCAACCCTGCCGGTGTCCGAGCAGCACAGCTCGTGCTGGGCGTCCCCTGCCCTCCCAGCCGGACTCTGGGCTGCCCTCCAGGAAGCCTGACCTCTGGCGTGGGAGGGACCTTCCCAGGGCCGGGTCTGCGGCACCTGCAGGCTGCGGCTGGGCTCTGGCCGAGGCGCTGGGTGGTCCTGGGCGCGGCCCCCGCCGGCCCGGAGGCCCAGGGCCTGCTAGGTGGCTGGGAAACGCGCTGACAGCCTTCTTTGGCCTCCTTCTAAATTGGGGAGAAAAAGCCCTGAACAGCCCAGCGGTCGGGAGGCCTCTGGCCGCGGACCTGGAAAGCGTCCGGTCACCGCACAGTCTTGTGTCCTCAGGCTCGACGTCACTGGCCCCTCGGGCCACGTCAGTCCTGCCACGCGCGGGGGCTGCAGCTGCCTCTCCCGGGTGGAGGAGTCGGGGGAGCCTTTTCGTGTTCTGAGCGATGGGCTCACGTGGAACGTTCGGAATCGAAAGGATTTTGCCCAAACCGTTCAGACAGAAGAGCCACCTCACACCGGTCTCTGTCCGAGGAGTTGTTGAGGTTTTGGAGGCTCCCTCGAGGGGGGATGCGCAGTCCTAGGGCTGGGGACCGGCCTTCCTGGGGACAGGCTCCGGGAGGCCCCTAGGCAGCCTCTGGTTCTTCGGTGAATTTAAGCCCATTCACCAAAGCTCTCGAGGGGAGGCCGAGGGCAGAGGCTGAAACTGGAAGCCTGAGAGCGCGGTTCCTGTGTGTCTGGTCCCGCCGCCCGTCTGATGTTATTTAAACGTAGACAGAAACACGCACCCTGGTGACGCGTGACTTAGAGCAGCGCCGTGTTCAGTGTGCGTCTTTCAAACTTAATCTTGAACGATTTTTTGGCCGTTCGCTTTTATTGCAGAGAATTTTAAAAGTGCAGAATTAGGGACCTGTCACCGGGGCCCCCAGGTCCACCCTGCGGCCCCTCTGTCCCGCCCCCTGCTGTGGAGCACATCCCAGCATCACGGTTTTATCCGGACGTTTCCGTGTCTCTCCCAAAGGTAGGAACTCCTTTTTAGAGACTGAATCAAAAACCGTAATGTCCCCTTTTACGCCATAAACGTTAACATACACAACTGTGATTTGTTTACGTAGTAAGAATAAACTAATTTTGATACCTTTATTTCATATAACGAATTTAAAACAATCCCTTAACGCCATCACGTCAGAGTCCAGGCTCCCTGCCCCGTTTCCGTGGCAGTTGCTGGAATCAGATCCCCCTGGGTCCCCGCGGGGTCCCCAGCCTGGGCTTTGCTGACTGTCCCCAGGGGGCGTCTGGCCTGCTCTCCTCCCCACATTCCCTGTTTTTTCCTTAAATTGGTGCCGTGTCTGGGGCTTGCCGGGGTCACGACTCTGCTCTCTGTGGCCTCAGTGGTCGTTGCTCAGGCAGGTTCTAGAACGATCTTCAGCTGTAAACGGCGAGGCCGCGTGTGCAGCAGGGCGGGGCCCAGCGAGTGGTGATGGTGGCGGCTCTGCGCCCTGGGGCAGCGGGAGGAGCGGCACTTTCACGGCCAGGCGGTTGTCGCCGAGGTGACCTTGGTGTTGAACTGCGGTGTGAGTGACCGGAGTCCCTTCCTTGATCAGCCGTAGCCTGAGTTTGTCGGCCGCAGCGGGAACGCAGGAGGGAAAGCGCGATGAACGTGTACTGAGAGCCTCCGCACTGTAGACTCCGCGCCAGTGAGTGCTCCCGAGCGCCCGTCACCGCGGCCGAGGGGTGGAGGCAGCGTGAGAACGAGGGCCCCAGCTGTGTTGTGGAGACCGGAGCTAGTGGGTGTCCACGTCGCGCTCGCTGAGATGAACGAGGCCGTCGCAACTGGACCCAGAAGCAAAGCTGCGCCGGTGAACCGTCGGGTGGGGGCTCCCGGGGTGACCCGTGCCTGACCCGCGACGCTCGGACGCCCAGGTGCAGCTGAGCCTGAACCCACAGCCGTGGGCGGGAGCTCGGGAAGCTTAAGGCTTTTGCGTCTCTGACCGTGGACCACCGTGTGTGCGGATCGTGACCCCAGGGCTGGAAACGCCCTTCACGCTTTTGCTGCGTGAGGCAGACACAAAGGCAGAACACGAGAGGCTTTTCTCGCGGTAAATGGGTGGCCTGGGCAGCCCACAGATCGTGTGATGCAAGCAGGGAGCGTGGCGGGTGCCCACAGGCAGCGTGAGGCTGGCGTGGCCGCCCCATCACCGCAGAGGCTGGCCCGGCGTCCCCGCCCCCAGCCCCGCCGGAGCCTGAGGCCCTACCGTGTGTGACTCGAGTGGGGCTGGCAGGTCTGGGAGGGGGTCTGGGTGTCACCTGTCCCCTTGCCACCCGGCGCCACCCGTGGCAACCTCAGGGGAGCTTCCGCTGGTGCCCGTCGGCCAGGTCCTGTGCAGCCCCGAAGTCGTTGGGGAGGTCGGAGAAACGAGTCGGGGGGCCGGAAGGGTGCGTGGTAGACGGTCGCGCCAGAGAGCCTCTGCGCCCCCCAGACACGCACCCATCGCACAGACGTGCGGCCTCCCGCGTGGGCGTCCCGGCGCTGTGACGAGGATTCCCGGGCGGCGTGGGCCTCAGCAGGCACGAGCCGGCTCCCGTGAGCTGGAGACACCTGGGTGCGCTGCCGTGTTCCAGCCAGGGGCACGGGGGTCTCGGGTCCCGCCCGAAATGCCGCCACGAGGGGGGCCAGAGCCCCAGCACCTGGGGGCGACCGCACCCCGCTGCCCCCCAGGACTGCGCAGGGTCCCCCTCTACCTTCCACGTCAAGCCTTCGCCTTCTTGCAGGAGGAGCCGAGGCGCAAGCTGTCGGATGCCCCGGGTCCCACGAGTCACAGGCTTCAGGCGGGAGCCGCCCCTGCGCAGCCTGGACCCCGCCTGTGAGCTGGGCTCCCACGGGTCCGGCACCTGCCTCCTGCTGGTCGTGTCGCTCCGCCCGCGAGGCGCGATGGGCCGGTGCACACATGGAGCCCGCGGTGTGCGGGGTGGGTCCCTGCAAACCCGTCTCCAGACACGCCCGTCATAGCGAGTCCGGTTCCGCGTCCCGCTGCGAGCTGTTAGTGGCAGGGAGAGTAGGGCTCCTGGTTCTGAGACCGGCCTCTTCCATTTTTGAAAGTTCTGGAACCTGCCCTATCAGGGAGATTAAATAATTGGCGGGAACTTGTCACGAAGGAAGGGAAGTATTTTAAGGCTGTGCTTGGAAGACGTTTCCATCTCGGTCGCGAAGCACTGACCGGGCCGTGGCCGCAGGTCCAGGCGTGGCCGCCACGCGCCTCCTGCAACTTTCAAGCCCTTGCGTGGGGATGGCGTCCTCGTCGCCGTGGGTTTCACGCGTGAGGTGGGGGGGGGACCGTGGCCGGCCCAGCGTGGCGCGGTGCTGTGCCCTGCGCGTGCCTAACCGCCTGTGTGTCGTTCCAGCCCGTCCCTGCCCGCCCTCGACTGGCAGCTGCCGTCGCACTCGGGCCCCTACGAGCTTCGGATCGAGGTGCAGCCCAAGTCCCACCACAGAGCCCACTACGAGACGGAAGGGAGCCGCGGGGCAGTGAAGGCGTCGGCCGGAGGACACCCCGTCGTGCAGGTATGGGGGCCGCCGCGCACTGAAGCCGCGAGTGACGTGGTGCTTTGGTCCAAAAGGCAACTCCGGAGCAGCAGCTCTTTTCCTGTTTCTGGAAGTTACCTTTTGCCAACCAGTGGAGCTAAATGTCGTTTCCACAGCGAGGGCCTGGCTGGTTTCTGGACACGCTAGACCTACTGCGGCTCGCTCCGCGGCCCTTTGTGCGGCCGAGGTCATCTCTCGGCGTTTTGGGGCTTCCCCGACGCAGGTCTCGCCCTGCCTCTGACCCGGGTGTTCGGATGGTTCGTTCTTTCGAAACTCCCGGAAGCCTTTGCACCCCTGAGCGGTGTTTCTCCAGCCTCTGGGAATTCCTGGGAAGTGCAGGCTCTGAGGCCCCCCAGCCCTGTGGATCTCAGAGCCCGGTGTGGGGGCCCAGCGTGGGGCACGGGTGACACCGTGGGTGCCCCCAGGGGAGGCGCTGGGCGTGTGGCACCTGCGGCCACGGTGTCCCTTCGGGCCTGGCTCCCTTCGGGCGGCTCCGGGTGCTGGTCCCTGACTTGGTTCACGACCAGGGAAAGGACACGCGGCGTTAGGGCGTCGTGGCTGTGGCCGGGCGGCATGTTGGCAACTGCGTGGCCAGGCGGCGTCCGCTCCTCAGGCCGGATGGGTGTGCAGGCTGCTGTCTGCGGTGCCAGCGGCTCCTGGTGTCTTGCTGTCTGCGCCCGAGCCCCGGACCCCACTCGGGCTGTGCCATGTGGGGCTGTAGCGCTGGGCGCTGGAGAGAGCTTTCCCCGCGCACCCTGACCCTGTAGAGCCCGCACGGAGCGGCTGTTGAGTGAGCGGAGCAGGCTGCGCGTTTGCGTTTTACTCCATTTAGATAAGTAGGAGGGTTTCGAGGGTGGGTGGCGTGACGGTCCACGGCGTGGACCCACCGGGCGCTTGCGGGTGGCGTCGAGGTGGTGTTTGTGGTCTGCGTGCACAACGCCGGTTAATTCCTGCCTCGTTGGCCGTGTGATGCTTGGAGACGCAGGCGTCGTGTGTGCACAGCAGCCAGCTTGACATTGAGCGTTTCCGCCTTCCCGGGTGGAAAAGGTCTGATCGCGCCTGTGCATAGTTGGCCGAACAACTGCAGGCGTTTGCCACCCTCACTGGTTCCTACTGAGCGAAGGCGCGTCGCTGCGTTACGGAAAAGGTCTTGAAGGAAATGGAGCACTAGAGAAATAATGGCCGAGCCCACTGTGAGGGCCGCCGCGCCCGGGCTGCGCAGACTCCTCGCTGGGCTGGAGCGTGGGCGGCACCTGTCTCCCGTCACACGTGTTCCCGAGCCCTCCGCCCCCGGGCAGGGTGGGCGTCAGTCCGTCCACGCAGACGGCGCAGAAAGGATCGAGACGCTGCAGAGGATTCGTGACACTTAAAACATTAATTTACAACGTCTTTGATGATTTCCTCTAAATTATTCCAAATCACTGGTCGGCGCAGTGCAGCGTGGCCACTTGGGACGGGCCGACAACGTGTTTGGTGGAACAGACGCCCCACGGCCGAGACGCAGGAGGACGATCCCCGCGCAGAACGTCAGGACCCGCCAGCGTCTGCCGTCTGTGGCAAGTCAGCGTTGGGAGTTACTGACGCGTCTGTGGCTAAGCGAGTTCACGCCTGTGCGAGTGTGAGGTCAGCAGGAGAAACGGGGTTTGGGGGTTTGTCTTCTCTTTCGGTCGGTGGACCCCAAATTGGATAAAAACAGAATCTGCACGTGATCAGTGAAAACAGAAAACTCGGTTGCCGTGGACGCCAGTGACCACGTTCTTCTCTGTGCCGTTGGGTCACTTTTGCGTCTCCTTCCGCACCGAAGCTCTCTCCTCCTCCTCCAGAAATGACGCGTGTCACGGTGGCCAAGACGCACTCGCAGCGGAGGCCACGGACCACTGATGCGTCGGGATAAGGGCCGGCTCCCGGGAACGCCATGGTCGGGGGTCGGCGCTGTGGGCCTTAGCCACGCAGAGCCGCCGTCAGCGAGTTGGCTTTCTCTCGTGTTTGAAGACGTACCATTTAGAGACAAGCACGTTTTCCGCCACATTTCAGAAAGTTCTCCCATGATCCAAGCCAGGGGTCCCCTCCGGACGGTCACACCTAGTCGGGCCCGAGAGGAACACGGGCGGAGGGGCTGGGGCTGGGACCCCGGGGGTCTCTCCCTCCGCCAGCGTGTCGCTCCCTATCGTCCGCGACTGGGCAGCAAGAACCGCTGCGCCTCCGCTCCCCGCGGACCCGACCGCCGCGTTTTCAGGCAGGCAGCCCTCGGTTTACCTGGGGACGCGGCCACGCGTGAGGGACTTGCCCAGCATCGCTCCATGGGCGAGCGGCGGATGCGGCGTCGAGGGCTCCTTGGCGACAGACGCGTCCCGCTCTGCCAGCACCACTCACCAGGGACGGGTCGCCTCTGGCCCTTCCGCGGAACGCTGTCTCCAAACTTGGCGGAGCCGCAGCGACCACCAGGCTGTCACGCTGGGGCCGCCAGTTACAGTCTGCGCGGCTGTCAGGACAGCGACGGCAGGAGGAGCAGAGGAACCACTCGGCGTGGAAAGCGTGGTCCTGGCCCCGGTTGGGCTGGTCTGGGTGGCTCTGGTGGACGTGGGCTGTGCAGGGTCTGGCTGGACCTTGTGTGGCGTTGACCCTGGGGCCCAGGCGGGCGTGAGTCGGGGTGTGTGAGAGGCGGGGCTCAGAGCCTCCGTGTTCATTGTTACGACTGGGTTCACCTGGACTCTGCAGTTTCTCTTCCCCGCGGTGCACTGCGCTGACGCACCTGTCAAGAGGGAGGCTCCCGTCCGGACACGGCGGGGCGGCCCCGGGCTCCTCCCGTCCCTGGTCTGGCCCTCGGTGCTCCGGGTGCCTCCGAACCTGTGGTGCTGCGGGAGGGTGAGCCGGTGGGACAGACGCCCACGCACAGTGACAGCCGGCAGCGCCCAGGAGGGAGATGCCCCGGGAAGCGTGTTCTGACGGGAGGTATGGGGCCCACAACCGGGGTGGGGGAACACTGGGGGGCCTCTGGGGGTCTTGGGTGCGGCCCCTTCCTGCCTCCCCGCATGGCCGTGGGCCGGGGCTCGGGGATCCGTCAGGACGGTCTCAGGGGAGACGGGCGGTTTCCTGCATCGCCCTGTGGCGGGGGAGGGGAGGGGAGCGCTGGGCCCAGCAGCCCCCACTCCTCCTCGGGGCACAGGCCTGTGTCCCTGCGGCATTTGTCACTGCCATGGAGGCCGCTCCCTGGGGGAGCCCGAGCTCCATCATGGAGGAGACCCTCCCGGCCGGTTATTTCACTCTTGGTGTTTTCTGACGTGTTCTCCTCTCCTGCCGCCTGGGGCTGTGGCTTTGCACCCCGACACCCAGGCTCTCTGTCCTGGAGCCCGCGTCCTCGTGTGCTCCTGGCGGGGGGCGGACCAGGCCCCAGCCCCCTCTGCAGCCCCCACAGCCGTCCCCCCTCGGGTCACGTGCAGCTCGAGGCTGGAGTCCGATCCCCGTCCCAGGCTGAGGAAGTCAGCTCCGTTTACCAAGTTACCAGAATAACTTGCTGATAGCATCTTGCCGTCCGCAGCAGCGGGTCTACGTGAATAATTAATAGGCCACTGCAGCGTGACGCAGTCGCCCGGCTGTTCCTGAACAGCACTGTGGGTCTGCAGGCCGGGTCCTGTTGGTCAGGCGTACGCACTGCACCATCCCTCGTCTGGCCCAGGAGGCAAGGGGGTCGGCAGGGAGCCACGGAAGGCCCTGGCGCTTGGGGCTACGGGTCAGGGTGCGCTGAGCACGGAGAGTCGGGCCGAGAGGTGTCTGGAGACCACAAAGGCAGACTCCTCATTTCAGGAAACGGCCTCACCCCAGGCTTCCCGCGTGGCTTGTCTTGCGCAGGCGTCTCGGGCTCTGGGCTGTGAAGCCCCAGCCGGGCGCGCAGGGAGGCTGGGGACGGGTCGTTGCTGGAGAAAGTTATTATTTGACCCGAATGCCTTGGCTCCGTTAAGCACCGCGCATCCCAGAGCCTCGGGTCGGCAGCTCCGGGCCGCCAGGGAGACGTGTGTGCAGCTTGGAACGACCAGTCGGAAGGTAAAAATTCCACACTTAACCGGCTTTGGTCGTCCCCGCTTCCCTCCACGCGTGTGCACACGTGCACACGTTAATTGAATTCCAGCCCTGAATAGACTGGCCTCCATCACGCGTCGCCTGTCACCTTTCCGTGTCGGTGCTGCGGTCAGCACGGAAGCTAAAAGCAAACACCGCGACGCGTGGAAGACGCCGTGGCTCTGCCGCCTGGAGAACGGAACAACACGCGTTGTTTAGCTCAGGTCGAAGCAGAGAGGTCATGGTGATGACAGGCGATTTCATAAATACGATTTTGACAGATGCTGAAGCGTGCCGGAGGCAGAAACCCGTGCAGCGGAACACGAGAAGTATTTTAAATTGCTTTTCGTGAAGTGAACTTCACAGTTTAAATAATAGATGTTTACCTCCCAGGTTAAACCTTAAATACTCCCATTTTCCCTGAAATGGCATTTTTTAAAAAGATAGTTATACCCCAGATTCCCTGCATTCCACACACCGTCGGAGAACCACCGGAGTCCCAGGAGGATTTTAGCTCATTTCAACGTTAACGGAGCCCAGCGGCGCAGAGGTGCCCGCCCGAGAGATGGTTTTGGTCAGACTCATTTACGTACTTTTATGCAAATTAAATTTTTATGTATCAAATTTCAGAATGTGGATACCGAGTGGCAAAATTCACCTCTTCGTCAGTCGCTTTCTTCTCACGTTTCCCATTACGAAAACGTTCACTTGAGTCCAACACAGAGTGAAGGTTTCCCGGCAGGCTCGTTGAGCTGGTGGGAGCCTGGAACCGCGGCCGAGTGGCGCGGACTGGACAGGCGGCTCCGGCTTCCCCTCCCAGCGGGCGCCGTTTCCTGCAGGAAAAGAGCGCTGCGTTTGAGAGGGTCGGGCATCGCGTTCCTGCGGGACCACACAGGATCGGTGATAACCGCGTTGCGGTGAGGGAGGCTCGTGTCAGACGTCACCGTGTGGGGTCTGTGCACAGCACGTGGCCAGGGAGCGGTGCCTGGACCACGCCAGAGACAGAAACACGGAGAGGGCCTACGTGTGGAAATCACGCCCGGAGAGAAAGTCTCCCCACTTGGCTCCTGTGTTCTAGAACACGTGCGAGGCGTGTTTATGTGGGCACACACGTGCGTATGCGTGTGCATAGTCGGGAACTGGGGCCGTTCCTACGTCCACCTGCTACGCAGACTTGTCCCGCACGGGGCTCCTCCTCCGTCCCCGCGAACCCACAGGCGAGACTCAGAGCCCATTAGCTCCTCTGCAGCCCGCGACAGATCCCGGCTTTTAGACAATCTTCAGAGGTGCCACACAAGGCTCTCGGGGACGGGCGTGGACACTAGACACCCACGCGGGGCAACGTGCCGGTGGCCTGGAGCTGCCGGAGGAGGCCCGCTCACGGCAGGTGTGTGTGTGGCATCTCTGGGACCCACCTTTGTGACGCCTCGTAGGAAGTGCTGGCCGTGGAGACGGCCGGGCGGGGCCGAGGAGCCGTCCACGGTTCACCGGATCCGCCACGGTGAGGTGCGCCAGCTCACAGTCGGCGCGGCCTTGCTGGGCGGCGGCCACACAGGAGGTGGTGTCCCTGCCCGGGGGCCACCGTCCCCTGTCTCGGCTGCGAGAGCAAATCACTCCTCGACACCAGCGGCGATCAGTTGTTGGGGATTCTTTTCTGAGGCCTTGAAATTTTAAAGTGACTTTGTCTTTTAATTAGATGAAGTAAAAACAGTTGGTGAGTCTGTTACCAACGTGGTTCTGATAGTTGGCTGACTGCTGGTCTGGACCACGCTGTAAACAGCAGGCGTCTGGTTCTGTGCGCTGATGAAATCGTGCAGGTCACATCCCCACTTTCCAATCTCAAGTACGACTTTCCGAGTGTTCATGTCGTGCACTCGCAGTTGGGTTGAGGGTGTCAGTGTCCTTAGAAAAGTCCCCGGAGCGCTCGACCCGCCGGTGACGGGAAACAAACTCCTGCTCCAGGTGCGGGAGGCCCAGCCCTCGGCGACGCCGCGGCACCTTCTGACGCCGCCACCCGCAGCCGGCTCCATTTCCCAGGGGGCAGCGGGCTTCCACCCCACCCAGACCCTCTGTTCACGCCTCCCTCCCACCCGCAGCTCCCCGGCCCCGGCCCCCACTCAAGGAGCCAGTCAGCGTCTCCACCGCGGTAGCCTTTGGTCGGGCAGAGAACAGGTCTCTCCCGCCGCGCGTGGCCGTGGGCTGCCTGGGCGGGCGGGGGCTGCACCTGTTTGAAGTGAGCTCTCTGCGGGGCCTTGGCTGCGAGCCACGCGCTGGCGGGCCCGAGAGTTAGTGAGAATCCCCGGCCTCAGCCCGGTAACGGGCCTCGGCCCCCGATCTTCGCAGGAAGAGCACGTGAGCGGCTGCGCCTCGTAAACCCAGTGTCCACGGAGCCACGTCAACATCCACAGCGGCTAATTGCAGCGTCTGATTTTCTGTTCCCCGTGTATCAAGTGCTTTGTTTTTCTTTCTCCAAATTGTCACATTAAAATGAAAGTCAGAAGCCTCTGCAAACACGTGGAGTTGGGGTGCGCGGAGGTCAGAGACCCAGCATCCGTGACGTCCCTTCCCCGCGTTTGCCGGTTTCTGTCTCCCTTCGGGGAAGCCGTGGACCCTCCCTGGTGACGGCTTCGCTCCCTCCCTGCAGCTGCCCACGCCTCATGTTCCCGCATGGCTGCCTCGGTCCAGCCCCCGTGTGGGTGTCTGAGCCCAGACTCCCCGGCCTCCCGGGCCTCTGATGTCACCGCGTGCCCCGCGTCCAGGCCCCGGGGCCTCACCCTCACTTCTCTCACGGCCGCCTTGCTGGTGCCCTGGGCTGGCTACAGCATCTCCGGGGCACCAGCCGGGTTGGGACCCCTCAGATACCGGCTCTCGGGACCCTGCTCTGTGGAAAGAACAGCCGGAGGCAGAGAAGCCGGGTCCATTCCCACCCTTCCCGAATCCTTCCGGCGGGGCCGGGGCTGGCGCGAGTTCTGCTGGGGGCTCCCCGGTCCCCCTGAGCAGCTGCTCCGGGCTCTGGTTCTCCCACTGGGGACGGCCACGCAGGCTCTGAGCGGGCATCGTGGGCGTCTGCGTCTTCAGCTGCACCGGCGCTGTGACTGACCCCGGGAGGGTGCTTTGCAGCTCATCATGTGGCCTTTGTGCTACAGCTGCTGTCAGTTGTGAGATTTTAAAATGGGCTCAGTGAGAAAAAAGCACAAAGGTGGCAACAAGAAGAACAGTTTACGTTTGGGGCCTGCTCTGTGCCGGGCCTTGTGGGAGGCGCTGCTTGGACTGTTTAACTCTTGTGCCCGGTGGGAAGGAGGACGCCATGGCGCTCCGAGCGGGAGAACTGACTCGGGCAGGATTTGAGTCTGGCAGCCTCACTCTGAGCTTGCGTACTTGCTTCTAGAATAAATGTTCCTGTTCCCAGGAGAATTCGCCTCGCGAAAATATTAGGTCATTAAATTCGAAGTGTCCAATTTCGAATCAAAAGTATAGTTATTATATCTCAAACAAGCAGTACGATTAATCAAAGTATGCGCCTAAACTATCGACAGTGTTGCCGTCTGAGCGGTAGCTTGTTGAATGAGGTACCTTCTTGGCTAAACAAACAAACAAAAAAACCCAGTAGGTCGTTCATGCCAGCAGCGAAGAAGCCTGGAGAGAGAGCGGCAATCAAATTGCAAAAGGCATTTTATTTTCCACAGCTTGTTGAGAATTGCATATTTTTCCCTGCAAGAAGTGGTCAAAGCCTGGAGGAAGTGGTAGTCACTTGGTGCAAGGTCTGGCGAATGGCGGATGACAGAGAGTTTCCAAGCTCAGCTGCTGTAGTTTGAGCAGCGTTGTTTGTGTGACATGTGGTGGAGAGTTGTCTTGCAAGAGGACTGGCCTGTCTCTACTGACCTGTCTCGGCTGCTGAATCACAAGCATCCTCATCATTTCATCCAGTTGGTTGCAGTGGACATCTGCTGTAATCTATAGACCAGGTTTCACGAAGCTGTAGTGGATAACACCAGCGCCGGACCACCAAACAGACACCGTTAGCTTTTCATGATGAATATTTGGTTTTGGACTGTGTTTCGGCACTTCGTCTTTATCCAACCATTGTGCCAAACGCTTGCGATTGTCGAAAAGAACCCATTTTTCACCACACATAACAATACAGTGTAGACATAGTTTGCTTTTACGTCGTGACGGCAAAGAAAGGCAAGCTTCGAGACGATTTCTCTTCTGATTCCTGTTTAATTCACGCAGAGCCCAACTATCCAGCTTCCCTACCTTGCCGTTGTGTTTCAAATGGTCCAATGTTGTTGGAATAGTAACGTCAAACCTTGCTGCTAACTCATGGGTATGTCGAGGTGGATTCGCTTCCACTACAGCTTTCAGCCCATCAGCATCCACCTGGGTCTCAGGTCGCCCACGTGGCTCATTTTCAAGATTAAAATGACCAGAACGGAACTTCTCAAACCACCTACTGTGCGTTCATTAGCCACATCCTTCCCAAACACTCTGTTGATATTTCGAGCTGTCTGCGCTGAATTGGTTCCACGATGGAACTCCTGTTCCAAAATAACACGAGTTTTTGACTTGCTCATGTTTTCACAAAAATTGCTCTCAGAAGACGACTAGAAGAATAATCGCAATCAAAACCGCGCGATTGGAGGACCGAGGACGCCCCTTCACAATAGACATAAAACAAGAGGCGTCAAAGTGGAGCGTCAGAGACATCCACCGTCTAACTCGGCACCTGCAGACATGGGACGTTCCGTGCATGGCCGTGTTAAAGACAAACGCCAACATGTTGTCGTTCTGAGACCAGCTTGTCACGAGGGGGGACGCCTGCCTGCGAGCTGGCGAAGGCCGGTCCCCCGAAGCCTGCCGCAGGCCCTGCCCTCCTGGACCCCGTGAGCGACTCAGGCTGAGGAGCCGCCGGCCGCAAACCCGCGGTCTGACCCCCGGCGCAGTCCTGGCGGGAGGCCTGGGCGCCCCGCGTCTGGGTTGCGGAGTCTCCTGAGTCGTGTGATTCTGTGCCTCGCGCACGCGGCGGCTTCAGGCCACAGGGAGCAGCCGCGCCGAGCGGTGCGGGCGCCGGGCGTGTCTGCGTGCGCTTCCCTGGCGGCGGCACCAGGACCGGGTGAGCTGCCGCCGGCTTCTGAACACCGAGGGCCCCCAGCCTGTCAGAAAGGCGGCGTCTCGCAGGTTTGAGGGCGGCGGCGGCCTGGGGTCTGCTCGGGAGGACGCCGCACTCTGCCTGGGGCCAGGCTGAGCGCAGGCAGGTGGGCGCCGTCCTGGGGGGCCGTGTCTGGGTTCACTGGGGGCGCGCGGCCCTGCAGGTGGCTCTCGTGGGTGGGCTCAGCGTCTGACGGTGGAGGTGAATCCCCTCCTACGGCGGCCCGGCCACGCGTGCCCCGGTGCGGAGGGTGTTCCTTCCCACAGGCTGCTTGCAACGCAGCTGAGAAGGGGCTGTCGGGGAAGGCGCCGACTGGGGAGATGGGCTTTGCCGGAAGAGCCACAAACGCTCTTTCTACCTGCTCGTCCTGCGGGAGCGTCTCTGTGGCTGTGGCAGGCGCCGGTGGTGGCCTTGGCGTGTGCAGTGTGCGTGTGCCTGTGTACATTGCATGCACGCATCAGGGTCGGCGTGTGTGTGCACACGTGTTTTGTGTGAGCATTTGAAAGTGAGCAGCAGGAGTGTTCAAAGCTTCACTCTCCGCGCCCCGGGGCCTGAGGGGTAACGAGGCATCGCGAGGTGCACGTCCAATAAAACGCCGTTATCATGTTACGGAGGAACGAAGCGGGGGGCAGGTGGGCCGCACCCGGCACCTGTCTCGCGCTCTTCCTGCGCGGGCGTCTGCGTGTGAAGGTTTATTGATTCCCGGCGTCTGCGCTCACGGGGTCTCTGTTCTCCTGCCAGCTGCACGGCTACTTGGAGAACGAGCCGCTCACGCTCCAGCTGTTCATCGGGACGGCGGACGACCGCCTGCTGCGGCCACACGCCTTCTACCAGGTGCACCGCATCACGGGCAAGACGGTGTCCACCACCAGCCACGAGGCCGTGCTCTGCAGCACCAAAGTGCTGGAGATCCCGCTGCTGCCGGAGAACAACATGCGGGCCACGTAAGTGCCTGGGTGGGCGTGCCCCGCCCCCCAGCCCGGCCAGGTGCTCTGGGTCAGCACCCGGCGAACTGCACCGACGTTCTGACAACAGGTTGCTTCTTTGTGGGGTTTCAGCTGCTGTGTACGGTGCCCCGTAAAACAGACTCCTCAGTGCCACAGTGGCAAATCCCTCCCTCCGCGCCTGCACTCAGCTCCCAAACGTGACACCTCTTTATTCCCAAACACGGCGGTGCAAGTCAGAGCAATGGCTAAAATGCACACGCTGAAAAATTAGAGCAGGGGGTACATCTGAGTGGCGTTTTGATTTTAAGAGCCATGGGAGAAGCCAAGGGCCGCCTTGCTGAGGCAGACAGGACTCTGGTGAGCATCTAGGGACGTAGGTGTGGAGGTGGAGCCAGCCCTGGGCAGCGTCCCCAGCAGCACATGCAAAGATCCTGGGGCAGATGGGCAGGGCCTGCTCTGGGCCACCCTGGCGGGGGTTGTGTAACTTAGGACTTCATGTGGGGTTTTAATACCTGTCAGAGCCCCTGGGTCCAGAACAGAAGGCAAGCTTCCTCTCCATGTCAGCGTCGCATGGATTTCTCTGAATTCATCCTAAACCCTTGGGTTTGTTCTGCGAGCTGTGACCCACATTCCCCGAGGCCCTGGGTGCGGTCGGGGGTTTGAGAGGATGGGCCTGTGCTCGCTGGGCAGCAGAGGGGTGGTGACGCCACCGCGCTGTCCTGTGCAGGCGCGGGCTGTGCCCAGGGTCCACCCGGCGTGTGCCGAAAGGCCGGTCCCAGGTCACCTGAGGGGGTGGTCAGCGCACCGAGCATGTATCCTCCTCTCTTCTCGCAGCTTGTGGAGAAAAGAAAAACAGCGGTTTTCATTCTGTGGAGAATTTATACACAGACTGTTTCACTGGAGTCTAGTTTTGAATAAGACTCCACGAAATTATTAAGTTAAATGAAATTATATGAATGCTAGAAGTCTGGGTCCGGGTCCGGGGCGAGGGCCGGAGGGGCGGGTGCAGCGGGGCCTTCGGGGTCGTGTGTCAGCCATTAATGGAAAGTCCTGGGCTTTTGTTTCGGGCAGCATCGACTGCGCTGGAATTCTGAAACTCAGAAACTCTGACATTGAACTTCGAAAAGGAGAGACGGACATCGGGAGGAAGAACACCAGAGTGAGGCTGGTTTTCCGGGTCCACATCCCGCAGCCCAGCGGCAGGACGCTGTCTCTCCAGGTCGCCTCAAACCCAATCGAGTGCTGTAAGTAGACACATGTTGAAGTGCTATAAGTAGATGCACACTCAAGTGCTGTATGTAGATGCGCTCTCAAGTGCTAAAGTGGATGCACACACGAGTGCTCTAAGTAGATGCGCACTCGAGTGCCTTATGTTGACACGTGCTCCCCCACCCAGGACAGCAGGAACTGTCTGGGTCAGGCATCCTGGTTCAGTCACACCTTTGCCTTTTATTTGTGTGGACTTGTGAGCTGAACTTTCCCCGTCAAATACGCTGTTCAATGTGCATTCACCGGAGGAATCTGTTCGCTCGTCCGGGCGAGACAGACCTCTGTGTGCCGCGAGGGGTTTGAGTTCAGCTGGGTCCTAGCATGTCCGGCTCTGGCGGGATGCAGGACCTGCCACAGCTTCCGAACGTCCCTGACTGACGGCAGCTGTCGGAGAAATAGAAAGAAGGAAAGTGTGACTCGAACCCTGAGACATCTGCATTGACCCCGTTTGGGTCAGTCCCTCGCGTTTCCGGCAGCTTGGGAACCACAGTTGTGGCACTTGCAGCCACTGGAGCGAGCAGACCCGGCTTCTGCAAACCCAGCATGACTGGCCGTCTTCCCGGCCCGGGTCCTGGTTCTGTGGCTTGTGTCGGGCCCAGGGTGAGACTGACGCTCCCTGCCCTGGGCAGACGCTTCCCATCAGGGCTCAGCGCCCGACCGTGGTGGGGTGGGGTACGGAGCCGCGTGCTCTTGGGGCTTCACCGACCTTGTTTGTGAGTTGCCGTCAGCGAAGCTGTGTGCAAACACTCGGGCTCCCGGCCTCCGCGTCCGCGACCCCGTCCAGAGAACTGGACGCCTGTGAGGGGCCGACCAGAGCCCCGGGGAAGCGCTGCTGGCGTGTCCTCCCGGCCGGTGGGGAGGAGGAGCCCGTCTCCAGCGCCTGCTGCTGCTCAGAGGCGACGACACTTCCTGGGCAGCCTCGCCAGGACCCGCTGGGCCCCCTCGCAGCCTGTGGCATCTCCGCCCCAGCCCCCCGACCCCCAGCCACATGCGGAACTTGCCGTGGCTTCCTGTCCCGGCTTCCCTGGGCTGGGGGCCTCCCGTGTCACGTCACATCACGTCACCTGAGTCCGCCCTCCTCTGCGGACGCCAGCCCCGCCCCCCCGCAGCTGCGACCCCCACAGCTGCTCCGCGGACGGGCCTAGACCCAGGGCACAGGCAGGGCCGCACGTCCAGGGGCCAGTGAGCCCCACTGTGATCCTGGGATGGGCGTCAGACCCGGTGTATCGTCCCATGGTCCATCTACCCAGCCTGGGTGAGCGTGGACACTTGTGTAGCGATCTGCGTACCTACACGCATGTTCACATACACGCATTGCCACACACAGGGTGTGCACACACCCATGCCATCGAAAACTAGATTTTCCCATGGGGCTGGGTCAGATGCAGGCGTGGCTCCCACTCGCTGCAGGTTTGGTTCCAGGCCGCTGCCGTCCCCGAGTGTGTAGAAGTGACGTGTGCAATCGGCACGTGTCTGAGATCATACGCACCTTGGCTAAGAAAGGCCTCCCTGTTAAAGCGTCCGACAGGCACGAGGTCAGCACCTGCTGTTGGAAATGGCGCCGCTAGACTTTCCCACGCAGGATGCCACGGACCTTCGATTTGCGAAAAGCGTGGTATCTGCAGGCGGTGAGACGAGGCGTGCCAGCACGCGGTTCACATATGTGTGTGATCACTGTCGTTTGGGATAAAAACGGCTAAATCTTGTTCAGGAGCACATAGTGACTGTTTCTTCCAAACACTGATGAAAACCATCAGGCTGGAGCGTGTCCTGCGCCTTTGTCTCATCCGCGAGGCGAGGAGCATCTCGTGGTGCTCGTCCTCCGGGGGCTGGCGCTCAGGCCCTGCGGGGGCGACACGGGCCGGCGGGGCCGGCGCCACTCACTGACCCTCTCCTTCCGACGCAGCCCAGCGCTCGGCCCAGGAGCTGCCCCTGGTGGAGAAGCAGAGCGCGGACAGCTACCCGGTCGTTGGCGGGAAGAAGATGGTCCTGTCCGGGCACAACTTCCTGCAAGACTCCAAGGTCATCTTCGTGGAGAAAGCTCCAGGTACGCGCTGAGTGTAGACCGGCAGGAGGGCCTGGCTGCCCCGCGTGTGCCGGCCCCGGGGACGGGTGAGGCAGGGCCTGCGCGTGTGAACGCGGGGAGCTCGGTGTGCGTGGGCCGTGTGCCCCGCGTGTGCCTCTGAAGGGATGGGTGGGGGTGTGTGTTCCTGGGGCCATCGGGGCCCGAACCCGCAGACGTCACAGCGGCACTGAAGGTGCCTGCGCTGGGCGCCCGGGCGTCTGTGAAAGGCCGTCGCTGGCTTGGCTGTGGGCCCCGCACCTGAAACACGCACCTGGCGGGTGGCTCCTCCTCAGGGTCGGCCAAGAGCTGCGGGGTAGGGGAGCCGCGGGGTAGGGGGGCCGGGGGGTACACGGCCCTCCTGCTCCCCCAGCGTTTCTCATGGGCGCCACCATGTGGATGCCGTGGCCCAGGTGCTGTGGGTCTCTCCTGCGTGTGACCTCTGCGCCCACAGGCCCCGTGGAGAGCCCGGGTCACCCCACGAGCCCCTGGAAGGTGACGAGCCACCCCCACCTCCACCAGTCTCAACATGGCCTCGTGCTCACGCCGCCCGGCCTGGAGCCACCCCGGTGGCCTCTGGAGGGGAGGCAGGCGGCGTGTCCCGAGGAACATGGGTTTTCCTGGGGCCGTGGTGCCTGTGGTCCTGGGCCCCCCCGGGGGCCGCTGTCCTGCCTGGGGGGCTTGTGAACGGGGCGTAGCTCCAGGTCAGCTCTGCCCAGACGCCGACCCACAGCCCCGTCTGGGTCGCCGCGTCCGGGTGGGGGGACGTCGTGGGCCGTGTGGGGCCGTGTGCGCGGTCGGGAGGCAGCGTCTGCGCACTGACGTCCGGTTCCAGCACAGGTAGGCCAGGCGCAGGTGGGCAGCGCAGGGGACCGGGGGCCCCGAGCGAGGGCAGGCGGGGGGTGCGTGGACCCCACTCTCCGTGAAGACCGTGTGCAGCTGTTTCTGGACCCGAGTTCCTGTCCCTGAGGGCGGTGGAGGGGACGCTGCTCCCCCCGGGACGGCGGGGCGCGGCCCGCGGAAGGTGGCGTTCGTGGCCTTTTCCTGTCCGCAGTCGCCAGTTGGAGTTTTCCTGAAGGCGGCCAGCCCTGTACTTAGTCTGACCGCTGGAGGCCGCTGAGGCATTCAGCCCTCGCAATGGGGCTTGATTTCGTGCCGTTCGCAGGAAACTCGAGTGCTTCAATCATGGTGGGCGTAAAGGTCCTTCCTGCTTAACTAGCTTCCCCGTGTAATCACGCACACGCTGGAAAATGTGCTCTAAATGGTACACAAAGCCCAGCTAAGGGTGCGACGGTGAAAGGAGTTTGCGTTGCCCGTCTCCTTCCCTGGAGGCGGCTAATGTTGAAATAATTTAACCTTCAGAGCCTTAGGTGTGTGTCGGAGGGGAGTCGGCCACGCAGCGCCCTGCCCTCCGCCTGCCAGGGCCTCTGGGTCTCGCTCGCCCAGGCTCTGGCTTGCGGGCGGGGCCTGCGCCGATGTCTCCGCGTCCGCGGTTGGTTTGCCGGGAGGCCCAGGAAGCACCTCTGCGCCCACCGCTCCTCCCGCTCAGCAGAGGGGCCGCGAGCCTGCGCAGGTCCAGCCGAGTCACGCGCTGGTGCGCCAGGGACGCGCCTTCACCGCCTGTCAGGTCTCCGAGTCCAGCCCCCCTCCCCGAAGCTCGCTGCGCCCGGAGGAGCGTCCCCACCCCGCGCTGGGCCAGGGCCGCTTGGTGTCCTGCTGTTTGCCGCTGGGCGGCGGCTGTGTCACCCACGCTCCGCGGCGTCAGCCGCCCCAAACATGAGCAGCGGAGTCACAGGTGCTGCTCGGCCTGTCCCTGTGGCGTCCCCACGTGCATACAGCAGGCACACGCCGGGCGCGCAGTCGTGGGTCAGCGTCAGCGCGCTCTGCATTGCGAGCAGGTGGACACGTCCAGCTGGCACCTGTGATTTCACTGTTCGTACGTGAGGTCGTTTGCAAAGTCAGACATGCATACACGCAAATCACACGTTTTCAAAAGAAGGGAACGAACATCTCCATGATTTCCTTTCTTTCCCTTTGGTTTCCGCGGCAGAAGCCGCGCTCACAGCAGTTCCTGTTGTGTTCTGCGTGGCGGGGTCACTGGCATCCCACGCCCTCCCCTGGCAACGGGCTTTCTGGAGTGGTTGTTTGGAGAAACCACTAAACTCAAATTAAAAACACAATTGTCCTTCATCTTCTGATGAGACCGTCGGGCTTGTTTTAAAGTCCCGTTTTTAAGGTGCTGCTCGCGGGCGGGACCGAGGCCGGGCCGTGAGCTTGGGAGGTTCTCGCCGAGGAAGTTAGTAAGTTGGTGACTGAAACCGCCTTCTCCAGAAAGGACTGCCGCGGCTCCTCCGGCCCCGGCACCTGTTCTGAGAGAACCGGAGGTCGTGGCTGCCGTGAGCGGTGCCATGTCACGTGCTCTGCGTCCCGGCCAGGGCACCCCCAGCTGCTCTGGTTCATGGTGCCCTGAGACTCTGGCGCTGTTGACGGATGGCACCACTTTTCTCTTCCTGCAGTGGCCCAGACAGGCTCCCTGAGGCAGGGCCACGCCGGCACCCGCCACACCAGGGCACAGCTCTGCGCCCACCTCACTCGCTGCTTTTGGCAAGTGGGAGCCGGTCGCCGCCATGGCTGTGGCGCCCTCTGCTCCCGTGACGTGGCAGGTCCCGGCGGGAGGCTCCGGCGGGCGGGGGCGGGGCAGGTGTGCGGGCGTCACCGCCGCTCTGGCTCCCAGTAGAGGACGGCGACTCTCCGCAGGCTTTTCCCGCGTGGTGCGGGAGCCCGAGGGTGGAAACAGCCTCCGTCAGGGACTTCGGTTCACAGCTGGTGGCGTCTGTGTCAGACGACATTTCTGATGGAGAAAGTCCGTGCGGAAGGTTCCCCGACAAGCCAGGCTGGTGCGGTGGCTCCCGAGGGCGCTCACACCCCGCAAGCCGCGGCGTGCTGTGTGCAGAGCGGGCACCGATGCGTGTGTTCCTGTGTCGGAGGTTGCGCCGTCTCTGCAGGTCTGAACTGAGGCAGGTGTGCGGGTCACGGTGCGCAGTGGAGGGACGGCGTGGTGCTCGGTGCGGACGAAGACGCCCGGAGACCCTCGTGGGGTGAGAACCCACTTCTGGAGATCGGCCCGAAACCGAACAGAAGGGGCAGGTTTTTGAGACTCCGCTGCGTTGAACGTCAGGGCTCCTCACTGGAGCCGGGCACGGCGCCCTTCCGCGACGTCACGGCCTACCCCGTTGCAAGTTTTTGAAGCGTGTCTGGGTTCTTTGGCTGCGTAAGAGCCGCACCGGAACTGGGGTTAAAGCCCCAACTGCGCGGTCGCTAGCGACACACACGCAGCAGACCGTTCTTGCGCTGGGCTCGCCGGCGGCCACCGGAGTGTCGGAGTCTCAGCATCCACCTCTGAGCATTACATCCCAGACCCCGCACGCCAGCCGGGCCCTGCGAGTGCCCCCAGCGGCCCTGTGCTGTGCCCCACGCGGCAGCCCCTGCCCTGCCCTCCCTGGGGGCGCGGCTTGGAGGCGACGGGGCTGAGTCTGCTGTTCTGGGCTCTTCCCGAGCACCCGGCGCACAGCAGGCACGGCCCGGACGTCTGCGCACAAGTGTCACACCACGCTGCCGAGCCAACAAGCAGACCCGGAAGAGGGACAGGTCTGCGAGGCTGGGGCCCGGCTGGGGACGGAGGGAGCTGCCTCCGTGGCAGGGCCCCGGGTGGGCGGCCTGAGTACGCACGCTCGCCGCTCTTCCTGACCGTGCACTGCGTTTTAATCCCGCCCTTTGGCCTGTGTGACCGTCTGGCCACTCCACTCAGCGCGTGTTCATCCCCGGTCCGTGGTGCCAACGTGGACACAGACGCGGCATGGAAGGGAGGGGCCTCCGCCCCGCCGGGAGGGCGCGAGAGCCGGCCCGGGACCTGCGGCTGCTCCCTGCACGGAAACAGTGGCTCAGCCCCGTGCAGCTCCCCGGCCGCGGCCGTCTGTGTGGAAACCTTCGCGGGTGTGGCGGGGAAGCCTTTCCGATGACTCACGCTGCCGGGAGTTCCCTGATGGTTTGGAGTATTTTTACTCCTGGACTCGGGCGGTTTCCTACGAGGATCCAGGCAGCTCCCGATAAGCCCGAAACACAAAGGCCCTTTCAGGCCGGGCGTCGCCCTCCCTGCCAGAGCCGGGGTTGCGAACAACACCAGGCTGCCCTGCCTTTGGCGCGGGCGCTTGGCGGAAGGGAGATGCCGTCCGCGGATCTGCCGGCGCCGTCAGCCTCCCGGGAGGGCAGCGGCCGCTCACGCCCGAGACGGAGGAACCGCTCTTATCGTCTGACCAGTGTGGTTACTGCCGCTTCCAACTGCCCCCGCGCTCTGACCCGTCCCGAGCAGCTGCGTCTGTGCATCTCCCAGGAACGAAGGCAGCAATTGGCTTGTGGGCCCCAGGCAGAGAGAAGAGCCACGTGCCTGCCCCACCCCCGCGCCCGCTGCGAGGCCCCCACAGTGTCGGGGCTTTGGGGGAGCAGGCCCAGCATCGAGGGGTCTGCGCCCCCGCCTGGGTGGTCGGCCGCTCTGAAAGTGACGCTCGCGTCGCGGCGGGTCCAAGACGCCCCACCTCTGCTGGCAGCGCCTGGCCGTGCTCGGCTTTGCGTGAAGTCACCTGACTCCCGTGCGTTCGGAGAGCTGTGAGCTGTGGGTGCGCGCTCCCGGGCAGGGCCAGCCGGGCGCGCGGAGGGGACAATGCACGGGGGCTCCCTATGGGGCCACAGACGTCTCCGTGCGCCGTTCCCCGCACGCTGCCCCGAGCCCGCGTCCCTTTGTCGGAAGCCGCAGGCACTTGCTCCTCCTGGAGCCGGCGTGGGTCCCTCCCTGTCCCCAGATGATGGGACAGGACGGGCTGTTCCTACCTGCGCTGCAGGAATAGCGTCTCCTCCTTGGGGTTTGTTAAATGCACCGTCCGCGGCCCTTTGGGAGCCTCAGTTTCCCCCCAGCACACTGGCCAGCCCTTCCCTCTGCCCCCCTTCTTCAGAGACAGGCTCTGTCTCTGCCGCGCAGGCCATGTACAGGGCGCGGTCCCAGCTCAGTGCAGCCCCAGCCTCCCGCCTCAGCCTCCCTGAGCGCTGGGCCGGCCGCGCCCTCCCTCTCTGGCGGCGGCGCCAAGGCATCCTGCACCGTCCTCGTGGGTGTCCAGCCGCAGCCTTAGCCTCCCTGCGCAGCTCAGGGTTAAGGCCTCAAGCTGGGCGTGGGGCAAAGATGGGCTTTCGGCCGCGGAAACGTCAGATCAGTTATGCGCAGAGCAGGTCTGACCTTGGTGACCCGGGCGGGCTGTTCCCTCCACCACCCGCCAGCACCTGCCCCACAGCCCCGGCCGCACCTTGGGGGTTCGCTGCTCTGCGGCACTCCGGTGCCGTTGAGAGCTACCGAGTGTATTTTTGGTTTCCAGTTATTTTTTTTCTAGAGGAGAGAGGGTTGCCGACCTCTCGCCCGGTCCGAGTTTGTCACCACGTGGGTCCGTCTGGCGGGTAGTTAGTGCTGGGACCTGGGACCTGGGGCCTGGCTGGAGGCTGGTAGGGCCCCAGTGCGACTCCCCAACCCCCACCTTGGTCCTGCACCCGCCGCCCACCCCCACGAGGGAGAAAAGGGAGATTTGTCTAATTTGTCAGTAATTGGGGTTCGTAACAGACATGTTTTCTCCTTTGCAAGCGCAGCTTAAGCAGACACTCAGCGCGATCCCTGTCGCCGTCCACGGGGCGCAGACTTTTCCTGGGGGATGATGAGAGCGAGGAGAGCCGTCTGCAGGGAGTGACGTCTGTTAACTCAGGTCGTCCCAGACCAGTCCCCAGACGTCCTGCCGTCCAGGGGGACTTGCAGAGGCGGGCGGCCGGGCGGGAGAACAATGAGTCCTTTCACGGCAGCTCTGGAGCCTTTCATTTTTCAAACATGCAAATGGCCACCGGGTAGAGTTAAAAATACCTTGTGTTTTGCATTTCTGCAGCCAGCACGGCCAGAGGTGCAGAGAGAGGCTGTTTATCTGCCCAGCAGCTCTGAGCAGAGGCCGGGCGGGGCGGGGCCCTCACCCCAGTGACTTCTGCTTGGAGCAGCTCGGGGGCTGTCGCCCACGCGGCACCGCGGCGTCCTCGACAGGGTCACGGGCACACGTGTGTCCTCCCGCACGAGTTCACGGGAGGCTGGCGTGGGAGGGCAGGAGGTGGTGGGTGCCGGGGCTCGGGCGCCGCACAGCCGCGGGGGGCACCTGTGTCCCGGAGAGACCGGGGGTGCGAAGCCCTGTGGCTCGTGTGAGGCCGCGGAGGGGCTCGGGGACGTGGTCTGGGGGAGGGTCCTGAGGGCCCTCCAGCCCTGGGCCCTCCCCGCCAGCCCTGGCGCAGCGTCCTGGGCCCCAGCACAGGTTTAGCGTTGCACGCGGGGCCGGGCCAGGGTAGTCACCCCAGGGTAGCCAGAGCGCTGCCCTCACCACGGCCCCGGCCCCGGCCCAGCCACGACCGGATGGGGAGGTTTCGGGGAGGCGGCGCCCGCCGCGCAGAGTAACGGGGCCTCCTGCGCTCTCTTGCAGATGGACACCACGTCTGGGAGATGGAAGCCAAGACCGACCGAGACCTGTGCAAGCCGGTGAGTGTCCCTCGGGGCCCTGGGCTGGGGTCCCGTTTGTTCAAGTGAAACAACTAATGGAAAGAAAGTGACAGGACGGGTAATGAAACGTGGCCGCAGCGCGCCCCGTGGGGCAGGTGCTATCACGGCGGAGCACGAGGACAGAGCAGTGGCCCCGAGGACCAGACTCGGGGCTGGGCCCGGCTGGCCCAGCAGGAGGAGCATTTCAGAGAGGCCAGGACGCGGTCTCGGCGCCGAGTCACACGGCCAGCCACAGACACCCCGGGGAGGGCGCCCGGCACGAGCCCCTGCACCTCTCACGGGGCCTGAGCCTCCCGGGCGGGCGTCGGTCCTACCCGACCCACTGCACAGCGCCAGACGGCCTCGCCAGCGTCCCTGGAGAGCGCCAGTCGCTGCGAGTGTGACGCAGATCGTCTACCTGATTCCTCGGGGGCCTGCGGGCCCGTCTGTGCCGGAGTCGCGGCTGTTGCCGGCTCCAGGCCGCACGTCCAGGCCCCACAGCCCCGCCCCAGCGTCCTCGGTGCCGTTCACGTGGCGGGCGCCTGACAATAGGTGTTGTTCCTGGGGTCGGGTACTGCGGAGACTGTTCGGTCTGAGACGACTGTGGCTGCTCCCACTTTCTCGCGCCTGGCGTGGGCCCGGCCTGGCCTTGTCCTGTTCCTTCAATCTGTCTTCATGTCTGAAGTGGTTTCTTGAAGACGACATCCTCTTGGGTCTTGCTTTTGATCCACTCTGACGATCTGTCGTGTAGCTGGTGTATTTAGCCCATTGATGTTTAGAGTGATTGACTATTGACGGAGTTGCGTTGATATCTACTGTGGAATATTTTTCTGTGTTCCGTTTAGTCCTAGAAAAATAGGAGTCCTCAGGCCAGCATCAGATGCAACACGGCTTGTAGGCGGGTCTTTGCAGACGCTCAGGGTTCTCCCAGGCTCTTGCACGTTCCTGGGCGCTGCCGCGGATGTCTGGACGGTTCTCACGCGCTGGGGCCGCGGGGAAGGCTCCTGTGTGTGCCCCGGTGTGCGGGTGGAAGTTGTTACTCAGAAACTCATTGTTTCTTCTCGGGCCGCCTCTAGATCCTGGGCGTGGAGTCAGGTGGACGGGGGCTCGCGGGGCCCGGTCTCGCTGAGGCCTTCCAGGGCCTCTCGTCTGGGCGGAGGGGAGGAGGCAGTTCCCACGGAGGGCGGCGCCAGCGCAGCGCCCTCTGGGCCCGGGCATCTGACTCACGTTTGTGCGGGACCTGCCCCTCGTGCTCTATCAGGGAGACGCATCTTCCACCTGCGATTTCGGCGCCTTTTCCCTTCACCAGAACCTTCGCAGACAGTTGTCAGGCGGGGCGTCCTCCCTGGCCCTGGGGCACGGCCTGTGCTGGGAAGGTGACTCACCCCGGGAGTGCCCGGCCGCCCCCAGAGCACGGCTCGCGGGCTCCCGTCTGAGAGGCCATTGTCCGCCCTTCGCCCGAGAAGCCCCAGATGACGTCCTGGCCTGCGAGGCCGGGTGGCTGCGGAGGTGGCCTTTCTGGGCTTGTCAGGAGCATCCCCGACACCTGGCCGCAGGCAGAGGCAGCCACCAGAGACAGGCCACCCTCCTCCTTCCTGTGCCTCCTTGCCCCCTGTCCATGCCGGTCTGTGCCAGACACCGCTGGCTGCCCCTTGGCCAGGGCGTTCATGGCGCCCAGGGAGCCGGCGCCATCAGTTTATGGGTGTTGGTGCCAGGTCCTCTCCCACCACTGGGGCGGGTCTGTGCCAGGCGCTCTTGCCCTCCCTCGACTGCGGCTCTCTCCGGGGCCCCCAGAGGCTTTGCTGGTCCCGCTTGCGCTGGACGCAGGATGGAGGCCGCCTGCCCACTCCGTCCCCCAGGGCAGGAGAAACTGTGGACCTTTCTGGATTGAAAATGATTCCAGCCACGTTGGCACGTTCTTTTTCACTTTTAACGATTGCGTATTTTAAAGGCAGCTTAACAGTTAACAGTTGTGGGTTTTAAAAGAAACTTAATAATACACGTGAAAAATTATTTTAAGTTTACCATTTCGTTATTATCTTTTAAACAAAGTTTACTTCCATGTGTATTTTTTGTAGTCATAAAGGAACTTCATCTTCATTGTGGAAATCTGGAAAATATAAAAAAGTATTTTACAAAAGAAGCAAAACCTGGTGTAGTCTCAGTACTCGGATAAGAGCGATGTGAGCATTTGCGCACACGTGACCACGTCACGCTCTTAAAACGGGGCGCGCTGTGTCTCGTTTCTGTGCTGCCAGGAACTGTGCGAGCTGAAGTGAGCCAATGGGCTTTCTTAGAGCGAGTCCCGTGGGTGTCGGCGCCACGTGAAACCCCCCCTCCGCGGTGACAGAATTCCGAGTCACTTCATTTCCTTCTGCGTCTCTTTCTTCCCTCGTCCTTCCCTGCGTGCTAAGTGGCAGGGCTCCCGCGGAGATGGCGTTTTTGTTGTTGCTTTCTGTACCTCAAGAGTCGCAGTGGCTCAGCTGTGGCCACGTGAAAACACGACCCTCTGGTCACGTGGAATTTACGAAAGCCGACCCCACGGCGTGGAGCCTGCCCCGCCGGGCCGCCCGCCATCCTCATCCCAGCCGCTCGTGTCATCGTGGCTCAGGTTAATTTCCATCCCGGCTTTGCTAGATGTTTCCCTCCCGTCTCTGCTCTTCATTCCCTCGCCCGCAGAGGTCACGCCCCTCACCTGCCGGCCCAGCTGTGGCCGCCGCGCCCCTGCAGTTGAACCTCAGAGGAAGCATCTTCCTCTCCGTCCACGAACAAGCGGGGACTGTGCCTCGGGATGGCCGCAGGTTCCCGATCAGACCCGCTGGCGGGGGCAGCGAAGCGCGGCCCTAGGGGGGTTTGCCGCACCCCCCTCTGTGCGAGGGCTCTGCCCTCCCGCTGTGCTTGGCGAGAGCTGGGGCAGGAGGATGGCTTCTCGTGGCTTCTTGCAAACGAAGCGCAGTTGCCAACACGGCAAACACACGTTGCCTGGCAGACGCGTGTCCATGGCCGCGGCCGTGGGGCCCCAGCAGCAGCTCCTGTGCCTCGGTTTCCTCGTCTGCTGTTATCTTGAGTTTTCTGTTTTTAACACGTGAGATTCTGTTATTGACGTGATTAGATCAATTTTGCTATTAATCTGAGTAACAGGCTACAATTAATTACTTTAACAGAAGAAGTGATATAATGGATTTTTCTTACGCATTTTTCCTGCTTGTTAAACTGAAATCAGATGATTAAAGAAAACCACAGAAACTTCATGGCTGTGAATGCCGCCTGCAGGGTGCCCGCATCCCCGTTCCCCTGGGGTTTGTTTAGGGCCCAGCATCCGTGCGGCCCAGAGGGACACAGGGTTTGGGGGTCCCCACCCAGCCTGTGATTTGCCCACGCGGTACCATGCTTGCATTTTTATGTGTGTGTTTGAAAAAACCTGATTTTTATAAAAACGTTGCTGATCTTTATTTTAAAAACAGAGGTGACGGCCGCCACCCTCAGCGGTTAGTGCTGTTCTGTCTGTGCCTTTGTGTCCCAGCTGCTCCTGCCGCCATTTGGGGTCTGGCCCAGGGGTGTCGGCCGTTGTCGCGGTGACAGACACAGCTTCCCCAGGGCCACCCCCGCTGCTGCGTCTCTGCAGCTACTGGACAGGTGCTCCTGCCCCGGGAGGCGCTGTCGTCACCGCGTCAGCCGTGTGGGGCTCCCGCCGGTTTCCTCTGGTCTCCTGAAGACCACGCGGCGGCCTCTGCGTCCGGGCAGACGCTTCCCCCCCCCCGACACGCAGTTTCTCTTTTCTCGATTTCTCTCCCCGTCCTCCATCCACATGGAAAGGAGTGCGGAAATGGAATGCTCTAGTGCAGAGCGTTTCTCATTGGCAAGACGCTGACCGCCGTCTTCCTGTTCGCCATTTTATTCCAGAACTCTCTGGTGGTCGAGATCCCGCCTTTCCGCAACCAGAGGATCACCAGCCCTGTCCAAGTCAGTTTCTACGTCTGCAACGGGAAGAGGAAGAGAAGCCAACACCAGCACTTCACCTACCTTCCCGCCAACGGTAATGCCGCCTTGCTGGCTTTCAGCGCTGAGACCGGGCCCGTGGGCTGCTTTTTCTGAAAGTCGCAGGCGTGGTTGCCGTCGAGCAGCGCGGTTGCGCTGTGCGTTTGAACCGTGTGATGTCCTGTTGGTGAGGCTGAGTCATCAATTCCCTGGAAAAAAAAAAGAAAAGTGCAGCTTTCGATGCATTTTCCCTCATCACTGGGGGGCGGGGGTGTTGCTCATTCGGTCAGTCGCTGGTCGTCATTCTGGCGTGTCGCGAACGTGCAGCAGCCACGGGGGAGCGTGGCTCTCCCATCGCAGACCGGTGTCCTGGTGCGTGTTGCGTTCTGCAGCCGTCTGTGGTGAAGCAGCAGGTGGTCGTGGCTGCTCTGCGGGCGACTGGAAATCAGCTTTGCTTTGACGCCTCACGGCTGTGTCCGTGTGGCCATCCGGGAGCACGATGACCTGTGCTCGCGCCGACGCCCGTCTTGTCTCCCGCGGCCCCAGGGCGTTCGGGCCGACTCGCCTTTTGCTCCGTTCGCTGTTTTGTTGGTGGTTTTTTTGGTTGGGTCTTTTGCTGGTTGTCTTTTCGCTTGTTTTTTGTGTTTTTGTGGGTGTTTTCGTATTGAGTTTGTTATTTCGTTTTTTAGTTCGGTGTGTATGCGTGTTGTCTTGAGTGTTTTCTGGGCTTCGTCCTGGGCTTCCGGCTGTGCCTTCCGGGCTGGCGTGCATTCGTTTTGGTCTTGGTTTTGATTGTGTTTTTGGTTGTTTTTTTTGTGTGTTCTGTTTTTTTATCTTTTTTTTTTTTTTTTTGCTTTTTTCATGCATGTTGTTGTGGATGTAGTTTACGCGGTCGATTCTACTCTTGAAAGTAGTTGTTTTGTTAGTTAGTTTGTTCCTTATTTTTCTGTTGGTTTTTCTTTTTGGTTTCATTTTTCTTTCCCTGTCAATGGCCTTGATAACAGGCTAGCTCTCAAGTAGGTGCTTCTGTATTTGGGTTTGTATTGAGTTTTTTATTGGGTGTTTTCTCGGGATGCTTTTGGGATTTGTTTGGTGGTATTTTTGTTTGGATTTTTCTGTTCGGTGGTGTGTTCGTGAGAGTTTCGTTGGGGTTGCGTTTTGGCTTCGGCCGGCGGGGGTTGGGGCGGTTTTGTTTTCGGGGTTTTTTTTGTTTTTTTTGCTTCCCCGTTCCGGCTTCTTTTCGTTCCTTGGGCGGGGGCCGGGCCCCGTTCCTTCCCAAAGGAAATTTTTTGTTTTTTTTGAAAATGTAACGATTGTGTTCTAATTAAACTTCAAGCGTGGTTGACCCCAAATTGAATGTTTTAAAGAAACCCTAGGCGTCATAAAGAAAAACTGCTTTCCACGGCAGTGGATAAAATAGCTCGAGCATTAATTTCTTTCTTGTTTACCTGGCACGTGGCCGTCCCCGCTGCGAGTCGATAGCGCTGAGTAGAGCCGGGTCTCGGCGTCGGAGGCGGAGGGGCCTGCGTGTGGGTGTGCACGCCCTTCGTGGGCGGGGCTGAGCCCCGCTGCCGCCTGCTCCGGTGCACACCCGCCTGGCGGCCGCCCAGTCCTGCCACCCCGCGGTGCCACGGTCCCCCCGCAGCCCTCCGGCCTCCGCGCTCCGGTGGACGTCGCGCTTGATCCAGCCCCACCGTCCAGCCCTCCACCTGCCCGGCACGGCTGACCTGCCGCCGGAGCTTCCCGCCCAGCCCTGCCTCTCCGCAGCCCCCGTCCTCTCCTCTCCGGACATTTTCCTCCAACACCACAGGCCGCAGGCGCCTGCCCGGTCCCGCGGGCCACGGTCACCGAGCGCCCAGGACAGAGACCCCAGGCTGCCACGGGCGTCGACCAGCGCCTGGTGCACGGCGGGCTCTCGATACCTGGTTCTTGAAATAAATAAATGAACCGATGGAAACTGGACCTCAGGCCTCATGTCGAGTTTGGTGTCCTCGGCCGCCTCCTGCCGCTCTGGGGCTGTGTGAGGACGCGTGCGGTGGCCTCCCAGGCCCATGTCCCTAGCGTTGGCGCATCCGTGTCTTGGGGTCCTGCTCAGACGGTTCCCGCCAGGCTCAGCTCCCCCATCCTCGGTCAGAGCCACCAGCTCCAAGTCCCAGGGACACGTGGCAGTGTCGAGGGAGCTTCGCGGGCAGGGCGGGGGGACATCTAGTCAGGAAGCCTCGGCCCGATTCTCGGCTGGTTCCAGGTTGCTTTCTTTTCTCTCCAAACCCCAGTCGTGAGGCTGCTGCCGACGTCCCCTCTGGGCTTTGCTCCGTGAGCTTCATGTTGTTCCGAGGGTCCGGAGTCTGGTGGGCACAGCAGAGAGGGGACGCGCCTGCCTCGGTCTCGAAACGCACGCGCCAGCAGAGACAAGCCCTCTGCCCCTCGCCGTGAGCTCGCGTTCACGTGCAGACGCGTGACATCAAGTCACGTTGGGTCTTCCTTCGACATGAGGTATAAGGAAAGGTGCGTCTCCTGGCTGGGCCAGACGTTTCTGTCTCGCACCCTCACAGGGTTCCGCCCCTCTGGCCACGGGTTGGGGAGCAGAGTGGGTGCTGGGGGGCACAGCTCGGCCACCGGCCTCCCGTACCCCTCTCCTCAGCGCTGACGGTGTCTGCCGCTGACTCACAGCTAAACCGGCCATGGCGGCTGGTGACGCCCAGTGACGGCCCTCCTCCCCGCCTCCCACAGGCAGCCTGTCCCCCACGCAGGTTGGGGGTCACGTGGTCAGACTGCAGGGTGACCGTCAGGCTGGGCGCAGAGGGCCTGGGTCCTGGGGCTGGTGGCCAGTGACGGGGCCCAGAGGGACAGTTTGGTCCCTCAGTCCTCTCTGGGGGGCTGGGGTTTGACGGGGACAAGTTCCCACCTGGATGTAAACCCCGTGGATGGCGTGTGGGAAACCCCCTGGGAATTCCCACGTGCCGGCCCCGGCCCCGGCCCCGGCCCCCTGCCCAGGATTGCGGCCACTGAGGGACGGTGGGGACCCACACGCCCGTCAGACAGGCTGCCTGAAGTTTCTCGTTTGTCACTTTTGTTCGGCTGTGTCTGAAGGGACAGCGCTCGGTCTGCTGGCGCACGGCACGGTGTGAGGGACGCGCCGGCGCCTGTCTGAGCGCTCAGGGTCCTGAGAAGTGACTCCAGCGTGTCCACGAGGCTCGCAGTGGGGAGAGCCCAGCGCGTGGGGACACGTGGCCCAGAGACCCCGCTGGGCATGCGCTGGGCCCTGGATGTGACAGGGCAGGGGCGTCACGAGCTCACAATTAGCTACCAAAGTGAGGAAATAAATGCTGACAAATCACTGGGTCTGGAGGCCCAGTCTTGCTTCCCAAGCTGCTCTGGTTGGTCACCCGGAGACACCCCCGAGGCTGAGGGTCCCTGTGAGGCCACGTCTCCGTTGGGAGGTCCCCTCGTGGCCAAGATCCCTGCCCTGGCCCTGGGGGACACGCAGCCCCACCCCCAGGGCAGCCGCTGGGATGAACCGAGTCGGGGCGGGAGCGGCTGTGACCGAGAGGAGCACCCTCCACGATGGGGAGGCCACCAGGGGCAGACCTGCCTCCGGATCGCGGCCCTGCCCGGCGGTGGGCGTGCCCGGGCGCAGCTCCTCCTCCTCCACGTGACACACGAGCCCACCCTCCTGGTCACGGGACGGACCTGGGGGTGCACGGGAAGGGGAGCAGATTCCGTGCTCTCTCGTCTGCCCCCGGGCCAGGAGCAGCAGCAGAGAGGATGCGGGTGGACGGGGCCCGAGGGGCAGGAGGGGCCACGGCCAGGAGCTTGGTTCCGGGGTGCTCAGCACAGGCCGCAGGAAGCGGGTGGGCACCAACGGCGGGTCGTGCGCGGAGCCCAGCGGCTCGTCTCCAGACGGCCCAGCTCCTGGCCCCGCCCTGTGCTCCCTGAAGTCCATGACAGCCGAGTGAGGCTGCTGGTCCTGAACTCCGTTTCCACCGGCTCCCGCTGTTCCTGTGCAGAGGAGGGCGTGGTGTTCTCATTGCGCACGTCACGTTTCAAGCCTGACGTGGTGGACATGAAGCGAACTGATGCACCCGTCGCAGGGCACAGCCCTCCGACCCCGGGACCCGTGGAGTGGTCCAGAAGGGCAGTTTGCTCCCCTCAGCCAGGCCCCGAGGCCTCCCTAAGTATTGGGGGAAGGGCCCCAATTACAGAACCGGGGGGACACTCACCCCAAAATGCTGACGCGGTGGAGACACGGAGCCGTCTAACCGCCTCCCACACCGCAGGCGCCCTGACGCTGTGGTTTTAGGTGGGAGGGGCAGGAACGCGGAAGCTCGTGCTGCAGAAACCGGAGATGGGGCGGACAAGTCAGGAACGGGCGCTGGGACCCAGACGTGCGAAGGGAAGACCGTGGTTTGGGCCCGTTGGTTGGCGGGTCCCGTCGGGCAGCAGGCGGGCCGGGAGGCTCCGAGGGCACGCGGGTGTCGGGGGCGCTGGACAGGGCCAAGGGCTCCGTCACGGAGACTGGCCACAGCGCACAGCGTCAGTGGGGAGGAGGGGACAGGAAGGTGGCCATGTTTAGAGATCTGGGGGCCACGGGCGTCAAAACCACAGGGAAGTGTGGGCCGGAAGTCTGGGCACAGGATGCGTAGAACCGCGGAACGTTCTGGACTGGTTGGCCACAATCTGTGGGCTTCGCGATGGACCTGCCTGTCCGGGAGCGCGACTCAAGGCAGCTCCCCGAGCGTCGACAGAGCGGCCGCCCCTCCTCCGCGTCTCCCAAAGGCTGCCCCGCGATGCGCAGCTGCTCGGCAGTGCGCCTGGAGGATGAGGCGCTCTCGACGCAGCGCGGCGGCGACCGGGAGACGAGGCCAACGTGTTTCTGGGGCGTGTCTGTGCTGCGCATCGTCCGCTGTGAGCCTTGCTGGGCAACATTTGCGCTTAACTACACCCTGGCAGAGAACAGAGCTTGCCCGCGCCACGGCCGTGTCTGTGCTGCGTTCACGCCCTGCACACGGGACGGCTCCAATCCACCGCCAGGGCGGGGCAGCACGAGGCGGGACGTGC